GGGCACCTGGGTTGTTTCCAACTCCTTGCTATTGTGAACAGAGCCACAATAAACATGGGTATGCATCCACAAGGTTTTATGTATAAAATTATTTATAAATAATTAAAGAAAAACTATAGATTTGAAGTAATGTTATGCTTGAGGAATAAACACAAAAATTAAAAACAAAACAAAATTTGAATTGTGTAAGCTCAGAAGTTATCAGTGACATTTCACATAAATATATTTTATTTTGAGAGTATGGGGACACAGACTCCTAGGGAAATTTTTAAATGCCATTAACTTTACTTTCTCTCATTTTTAATAACTGTTTTGTACAGTTGGAAACAGTGTTTATTACATGTGGAGGTTGTGATTACTGTGAATCACTGTAAAATAGGAGCTTCCAACACCACAAATGAAAAAGGAATACTATGGGTTTCAATGAACATAATGGAAGATTCATAACATGGAAACTATTAGCAGATGGAGACGGATTTTAGAAATTACCTAGAAGTCTTTTTTAATACATTCTTTCAGCAGAGAAGTTCTGCGTTTCATTGACAGTAATGTACCCAAATGCCTCTTTCAGCTAAACATTGGCATCCCTTCCCTGACAAAGTGCTGCAACCAACATGACAGGTGCTATGAGACCTGTGGCAAAAGCAAGAACGACTGTGATGAGGAGTTCCAGTACTGCCTCTCCAAGATCTGCCGTGACGTGCAGAAGACACTTGGGCTAGCTCAGCATGTGCAGGGTAAGGACGTGAACAATTTTAAAAGTTCTGTTGGATACTTTGTTTTAGTATCCTGTTTTTATTATATGGCAAAAAATTAAATTAGAAAATTACCTATCTAGGGGAAACTTTGTTTTCTATACTTTCTCTTTGCACCAGCCAGACCTGAATACTAGTCAAAGATAATGTTACAAAGTTTTAAAGAAGCCATTGTCTATAGCGAATTACACTAATCCAAAGACCAGGCTCCTCTAGTGGTTTGAATCCACCGGTAGCTCCACAATAGAAACATGGGCAATCTCCCTTGCAATTTACAGCCTCAGAAAACCTGGTAGCAACTCAGCTCTGAATTCTGACCCAACAGCAGGGAATTCAGTTGACTGATTAAATGTTTTGAGGTTTCCTTCTATTTAAACCATCATATATTCCTGAGATATATGTCCATTAAGTGCAAATTCACTAGCTGTGTGTGCCATGGAGATGGAACCAACCCATAGGTGACTCTCCAGTTTTCAGAGGATGTAAGGTACATGGGAGGAGACTGCTCATTCTTCTGTGGAGCAGCTGGGGGATTTGAACTGAGTGTCTTTGGGATTGCAGCACAGCTTCTAACCATTAGGCCACCAGAGCTTCCCACTAGTGATCATATTTTAAAAAAAAAAGGGAAGTTAGAACTGATTGCTAAATGCTACTGAGAGAGGCTATCATCTGTCTAATGCCAGAAAATTAAGATTAGCAATTAACAAACAAAAATAAGATACATGGTAAAGAGGTTGAAAATAGTAATCTGCATATACATATGCTACTTGTTTGAAGGGCTGGGCAGACTTTGATGCAGCATACATCTGAGAATTCACTAAGGACATGCCTGCCTGTACCATACTTTGTAATCTGTGTGAAGAGAGGTGCATGACAGTGGTCAACAATAACAGCATTTTGTTACTTTGCAGCTTGTGAAACAACAGTGGAGCTCTTGTTTGACAGTGTTATACATTTAGGCTGTAAACCATACCTGGACAGCCAAAGAGCCGCATGTTGGTGTCGTTATGAAGAAAAAACAGATCTTTGAGGAAGATGCAAACCACTGATAACCAAATGTGGATGGAAGAATACACCTTTTTGACAACAAACTAATGTTTTTACATCTTAAAGCTGCCTTATTTTGTAGACTCACCAACAATTAAAAGTTGATTATAACATATTGTTCAACATATCATACTTGGAAATATGGGGGATAGTCTCCTTTATGTCTGAAATGGTCTGACTTTATTTTTTCTGTCTTCTAATTGTATTAATACGCCATTCCTTGATAGCCTTTTAACATATGAATAAGTTAAGCTTCTGTTAATGATAGAACTATTTCTATGGATGGATTTTCATGTCTTTTTCTATGGGATGATTAGAACTGTCAGCTGGGAACCTCGTAGGAAACAAAACTAGAATATGTAGGTATTGCATATTATAAAGAGAAGGTGACAAGAATAAGATCAGAAACAGCCACTCCTAATCTAGACAAACTTTCTGGAGATTCACAAACAAGAATCAGATTCATGTCCTTTGAAAGCACTGTTCATTTCTACAATTTAAAGGTTATCACATTCTCAGTGTCTGATAGAGATGTGTCTGATAGAGATGGTAAGAGGTGTGCCAAAGAAGTCTTTCTAATTACAGACTTGGAGCTAGAACTCCTTTATTTTATACTATACCTTGTCGTTTGTTATAAAAATAATTTTGTGGACTCTGCTATTCATTTTAAATTAATTATAACCTTGCTGGCTAAAACTGAGGAGGACCTGAAGCACTTGCTACAGAAAGTCAAGTACTGCATCCTTCAATATGGATTGAGGCTCAGTATCAAGAAGACAAAGATGCTCACCGTTGGGCCAATTGGCAGCAACAGGATGGATAGTGAAGAGATTGAGTTTATTAACAGCTTTAGTTTGCTTGGCTCCACAGTCAACACTCTTGGTACCAGCAGTCAGGAATTTAAAAGAAGTATTGTATGCGATGGTAAAGTCTGCTGTTAGGGACCTCTCCAGAGTACTGAAGAGCAACGGTGTCACTCTGAAGACTAAAATGCGCCTGATACAGGCCATGGTCTTTGCAATCACTTGCTATCCATCAGAGAGCTGGACAGTGACTAGGGAGGACAGAAGGAGAATTGATGCCTCTGAGCTGTGTTGCTGGAGAACAGTCTTGAATATACCATGGACTGCTAAGAAAACAAACAGGTTCATACTGGAGAGGGTTAAACCAGGCTGCTCCTTGGAGGCAAGGATCCTAATGCTTCATCTGACATACTTTGGACATGTTGTAAGAAGGGATCAGTCCTTGGAGAAGGACATCATGCTTGGGAGGTGGAGGGACAGCACAGGAGAGGAAGACCGCCTGTGAGGTTGATTGATTCAGTGACTAGAGTAATGGAGGTAGTTGTGTTGGAGACAGATTGGCACAGGACAGAGCAGGGTTTAGGCCTGTTGTACATAGGGTCACTGTGAGTCACAGGTGACTTAATGGTACCTAACAACAACAATAAAGTATTTTATTCTGAAATTTTTACATCTGTATCTATGTGGGTATATACACATACCACATAAATAAACATATATGTTCTGTATAATATAAGAAGCACTGGTGGCCTAGTGGTAAGGAGTCATGCTGCAATCCCAAAGGCATGCAGTTTGAATCTACCAGTTACTCTGTGGGAGAAGGATGGGTGGCGCTCTCCAGTGCAATTTACTGCCTCTGAAAACCCACTAAAAATGATGGCATATATCATATTTTACTATGACAAATATGACCTATGCATATTTTACCATAACCATTGCCTATACAGGAGAATGATGGATGGAGAATAGATTGAGGTTGTCAACAACTTCATCTTGCTCGGCTCCATGATCAACACTCTTGATGCCAGCAGTTAAGAAATCAAAAGACGAATTGCATTAGCTAAGTCTGATGTCAGGGACCTCTCTAAAGTGCTGAAGAGCAATGATGTCAGTCTAGAGACTAAAGTGTTCCTGATCTAGGCCATGACTTGCTGTGCATCACAGAGCTGAACAATGACTAATAATGTCAAAAAGAATTGATGCCTTTGAGTTGAGGTGCTGGAGAAGTATATTGAATATATCATGGACCGCCAAGAGAACAAATATTTCTATTGTGGAGAGGGTGAAACCAAGTTTCTCCTTGGAGGCAAGGATTTTGAAGCTCCATCTCACATACTTAGGGCACGTGGCCAGGAGGGACATCTTTCTCCAGTCCTTGGAGAAAGACATCATCTTTGGAAGGGTGGAAGAACAGAACATGGGAGGAAGAGCCTGGATGAGATGGATTGACAGGGTAACAGGGGCAATGGGAGTACGTGTGTTGGAGTCAGTGAGACTGGCTCAGGGCAACGCAGGCTTCAGAGCTGTTGTACACAGGGTTGCTATGATTTGCAGGCGACTCAGTGGCACCTAACACCACCACCACAACATATAGGGGAAAAGAAGAATTTAGAGACAAAGTTATTAAACAGAATAGAACACTATCTGCTGCTATGCTTTGGTGAGTTTTCCCCTGGTACTTGTTTTTTCCTTATTCAGTAATACTGAGTTTTTGGTGAAAATTTACGCAGCAGTTAATTCCCATTCGACAGTTTCCACACACCTTGTTCAATAACATGATACACAGTGACATAGTAAACACCTCTGGATGTTAGGATTCTAAGTTATATATCTTTGGGTAGCCTACAGCCAAAGTTATTAAGCTATAAAATGCTTGCCAAGTGAGCACAAGGAGAGATGTTGTTTAGAAGTCATTATAGGCAGGACAGTCTGAATTAAAGGGCCAGGCCCTTAATTACACCAGTTTGACTTACACTTTATTTCAGAGTTTTATGAACAGTACAGTTTTGTGAGCCTTTTCCGTACTTAACATTGAAATTCTTGGCCTGGTAACTTTATACCTTTAATATTATGTGGATTTACTTAGCATAAAACTATTGTCTTTCTCAAGAAGATAAGCTCATTGTCTCTCTCTCTCTTTTTTTGTCAGGAAATTATTATTTTAGAGAGGAGTGGGGGAGAGGCGCTCACAAGAAAAGAGATTTCTGCAAGTATCTCGTGATATGTTAACCATAGCATGGAAGGCCTACTTTTTTAGTTCACTATGAAAACTCAAAACCAAACCACTCATAGCTGACCCCCTGCGGGTTTTCAGAGGCTGTAAAGCACAGAGGGGTGCAGAGGTGGGGGCTTGCAAAGGTACCAGGGGATTCTAGAATCAATGGTCTAGCCTGTAGGAAGGACACACATCGTCCTGTTCTAGTTACTGGAAGTCAAGCAGTGGAGCGAATCCGATTCCACTGGAAACAAATCAATTTCATCAGCTTTCTTCCTCACATCCACATCCATCATGACCCTGTGGCTTACAATTTCTTTCCTGTCATTTGTCTACCTATTCTTAGCTGGTGCATTTACCCAACTCTGTCAAAGACGGCTTTCTCTCAGTTTTCAGCGCCTTCAGGCTCCACCCACTCCCAAAACACCTCATTATGTCTTTATAAAATACTTAATTCATGTTCACAAATTACATACAAAAAATTAGTTGTTGTTTTGTTAAGTGCAGTTGAGTCGTAGACAACTCACAGTGACCCTATGAATGAAAGACCTGAACACTTGTATAACTTTCATTGTTTCTCCAGGTTCATAGAGTTTCCCGAGGCAAGCTATTTTGGAAGTGGATGCCACTCCTGCTTCCAAGCTTGTTTTAATTGGGGAGCTCCATCAAATACTGTCCACCATAGGTATCTATTATTGCATCTGACACATCAGTGTCACAGTGTTTAGCACCACAGCAACCCCACTCTGTACAGCAAATGGACAGACCAGTGCTATACCACTTTGAAGAATGTTTGACCAAAAACAATTAAAACCAGGCCCAAATGCCCTTTTAAATAGGAGGCGGAATAAAATCAACTCACAGTAAACATTCCACCTTATTCCTCCCCAGAACCAGAAAACAAACCTCTGTAGAATCCACCAGCTCCAGATGACTTCCCAACCTGGTTTCCTGCTCCATAGAAGCAGCTTTTTGTATATGCTAAGTTTTTAAAAATCTTTTTTCATCTTGGAATAATTTTATATATAATTCCTGTATACTTGCCACCCATTTCTCTTTAACGTTAACATTTCCATAATTATGACATGTTTGTAAAATACTAGGCAGTAGCCCCAAAGTTTACATTTATAACAAGTCTGCAGATCTTGCTGATCTCTGAGACAAAAGTTTAAGAACTGGTCGCCATAATGTTCAGTTGAATTTATCAACAATTTTACCTGATTCCACAATCAACACTCATGGTAACAGTAAAAAAAGCAAGAGATGTGTTGCATTGGGAAATCTGTCAAGGGTTCTCCAAAGTGCTAATGACCAAGGATATCAGTTTAGAGACTAAGGTGCACTTGATCCAAGCCAGCCATGGTCTTTTCAGTTGCTTCGTATGTATCTGAAACTTTCACAGTATAAGGATGACAGAAGAAGAATTGAAGCCTTTGTATTGTGGTGTTGGGGAACAGTATGGAATATCCCAAAAGAACAAACAAGTCTGTCTTGGAGGAAGGATGCTCCTTAGAGGCAAGGATGGTGAAATTTCATCCCAGATACTTTGAGCATGTTATCAGGAGGGACCATTCCTTGGAAAAATATAACAAGGTGGGTAAAGTGGAAAGGAAAGTAAGACCCCTAACAAGGGCAAGCCTCCCAACAGGATGGACTGACACAGTGATTTTAACAGTGGGTTTGAGCCTATCAGAGATAATAAGGATAGTGCAAGTTTCAGATCTGTTGCTCGCAGGGTCTTTAAGAGTCCTAGCTGACTTGACAGCACCGAACAGCAAACATAACCAGTATGTATTGAAAGCTTACTGTGGGCTGGCTACTATTCAAGTGGCTTAGCATTTACTATCTCAGAGAAAAATAGGAAGCTGTGAGAGGTCCAAGTGCATATTTAACAGAAAAAAAAATAGGGAGTTATGAGAGGTTATTTTATGGAGAAAACTATGAAGCTGTGAGAGGTCAAAGTACATATATGTCTCGTGGTTCACAGCTGATAAAATGGTGAGTCAGGATTAGAACCCAAGCAGCCTGCTTCGCAGCCTCAGGCACATAACCATTTTACT